TTTCCCTACTTAAATAGCACACAGTAGATAGCTAGCAGCCTTAAATTTAAAGATAGTCACTTAGCAGTTGCTTGCCCCAGGAGAAGTAATTGATTTTGCATGTTTCTTCAGAAAGCTTTCCTTATGACCCTTACCTCCTTAGGGAAGGAAAGGGAGAGTAAAGCAAACAGAGCATCACTTTTTTCTTTAATTTTGTTTTTGTATTAGTTACTGCACCAACATTTTTCAGTTATTACTTAGCCTTTGCTTTTTTGGAGTGAGGGAAGATAGGGAGGGAGCAATTTTAGTCCAGTTCCTACCTGAAATTCTGACCATTTTATAATCTATGATGAAATTCTCATATGTCTTAAAGGACAGGATGTTCCCTTTATGTGTTACCAATTGTGTATGTACGAAAGTTACAACAGGTTTTTTCCAGTTGATATTCTTTCATGGAAGTCCATGGATTAGTTGCTGAAATGTATTGTGATTCAGGATTACATGTATATTGGTGTAGATATCTAATTTTTATATATAAAAACGTACACATAGAAGTGCCAAATAATGTCTTGCAAGTACAGTGATGCCACTACTCTTACTTCAGACAGGCTTAGCTCCTCTTGCCTTTGCATTAGATTGTTCAGTCCCCTTCAAGATTTTATGCAGTGCTGATGATTCTGGTACCGGAGGATTCATTGCTTACCTTTCTCAAATTTAAAAAGAAAATTAGTCAAGTAGGAAGTCCAGACAAGCAAATATCTAGAAGAAATATGAAGCCTGAGAGAGAACTTGTCTTTGATGGGGAAAAAAAAAATTATTTTGATTACTTATCTGAAATCCACCTTATTACTTATGGAAGAGTGTTATTCAGATATGTGTGAGAGAGAGAGAACACCTACAATCAAAAAGAAAATAACAAAACTAATGTTAAGACCTACCTTCTGCTGCTTGTTTGTGATTTCTTGTTGGCCAGCTGTGGACATGTAGATCAGCTTTGCGGTCTTTGAAACTAATAATGCCATGCCAATTTTATATCTCTTTAGTAGATACATGTACTTCAGTTCTTACCCACAGGCTCTACCTTAAGGCCTTGAGACAGCTGGTTAATATTCCCTGGACCTTTAGGTGTTCCTCTGAGTTTGGTAGAACTGTGATTTAAATCCACCTCTAAGTGTATTCTATCTCAAGTAACATGACAGTGGGATAGTGATAGACTCTTCCTGCTATCACTAGCCCTCTTTAATCAGGATTACTGCGTTTGCCTAATCATGACTGTTAATGCTTGTCTACTTAATTCTAGTCATTCCCCTAACTGAGCTTCTTCATAGGCTGAAGACCTGAAAGGAAGGGAGGACCCTATGATCAGCAAGGCAAATACCATTGGCCTGCCTGTAACGGGCAGCAGGCATCTCTTTTTTTTTTTTTTTCTCTCTCTTGTCGTGCTTGACTGGAAGCACATAGAGCTTTGGCCTCTGAGTTGAAAGACAGGAAAAAGCAGGATTTACTCAGCGTTCTCCCTCACTCCGAATGAGGCAGCATCAGCTTCTGCTTCCCCTGGGGCAAGGCAGATACCAAGAACAGTGTGAATGGGAGCAGGTGGGCTTGGCTGCCTTCCTTTGCCATGGTTTGTCCCTACTTGCCAAGGGAAACCTGCTTTAACAGAGCTGCACTGGGCTGAGGCCAGGCTGTCCCCTACCTCTACCAAGGGGAGATGCCCTGCTTGCTTTGAAGCAGGAAGAAGGGGGAA